TTGATGTCACAATGCTGTTGCGTCATAATGTAAAATAACAACTTTAGCCCCTGAATCCTTATCATATGTATAAATTCTATGGAACATGTATCTAATAGGCATTATGCCTTACACAGTGTCAACCTGAGATTATATTGTAATGGTTTACTACATAATTTAAAAGAAATAAAGCAATTTTCTATGAACTTACAGGCAAATAAATGTGGGAAATGTCATCAAATGCTACTCCTTAAGGGTGCAAAACACAGTTTTATGTACGACGTTATCAGGACGTTACTTGGTGAGGGACATGCAAAACTGGCCCCTATAAAAAAATAAAATGGAGGCTTGTTACATAGACTTCTGCATATCAATGGAAAGATAAAATTGTGAATTTTGTAAATATCCAACTATAATACATTCATCAATTACTACTAGGGGGTATTTAACACCTGAAATAAGGGGGATATTGGGTTGTTTACACATCCATTTTCAGTGCACCTATGCATTTTTAACCCCCCTGCTCAACAAAAACAGAAAAAATCAGACAAAATAAGTTGCATGCATTTCACAGAACAAGTCTTAAGGTTTTCTTTTAGTGTGCTTTCAGGGTACATTTTCCACCTCTTGAAAGAGCTACATTACCTGCTAATTGACTCATGCAATTCTGCACATGTGAAAACTGGATGTTTCTGGAGTTATCTCCCCCTATTAAAAAGTCTCACAATTTTTTTTTCTAAAAATGAATGCACATTTTTTTCTTTAAATATTAAGATAAGACTCTACTTTATGCGAATAAAAACAAAAAAGATGCAGTTTTCATCTAGACTCCTATAAATAGCAGGAAAATCCCTACCCAGCATGCTTCTCTCTGGGAAAAACCCCCTGGATTTTATACGAAACTGTGTTTAGCTACCTTAAAGGAAATCATTTTTTTTTTGCAATTCACTTTTTTGTATTTAGGTGCAAAGAGGACAAAATTCCAAACATTTTGGTGCATAAATTGTTGAATTTAGTCCAGAAATGGGCAAGTTATTGTAAATTTAGTATTACATGTCTACGACATTAGTCGACACATAAAACAGGACTTCGAAGAGAAATTCAAACCTAACCGAATCAGCTCACACAATAATTTTATTTTTCTTCAATTTAAAAAACACAAAGTATGAAATATACAGTATTTGAATATCAATAAAATGTTACATTATAAATTTTTTGAAAAGCTGCCAAACATTTTTTACAGATATTTCTAGTTTCTGTATAAACAAGGGGGGGGGGGGGGGTAATTGGAAATAGTCACTGTCTTAAATCAGAAGATATTGCCTAAAACATCTGGATGGTGTCACCCTAACTAGATACTCAAATATGTCACATGTATATATATTACATATTCTCATTTGCGATCAATTAAATGAAGGTATGACCTTGCGACACATCACAAACAATGCTGTTGCGTCATAATGTAAAATAACAACTTTAGCCCCTAATCCTTATCATATGTATAAATTCTATGGAACATGTATCTAATCACACACAAATTTTTTTGAGATTATATAATTTTCTTCAATTTAAAAAACACAAGTATTTGAATATCAATAAAATGTTACATTATAAATTTTTTGAAAAGCTGCCAAACATTTTTTACAGATATTTCTAGTTTCTGTAGGGGGGGGGGGGGGGGGGGGGGTAATTGGAAATAGTCACTGTCTTAAATCAGAAGATATTGCCTAAAACATCTGGATGGTGTCACCCTAACTAGATACTCAATAGGTCTATGTCACATGTATATATATACAGAAGATACATATTCTCATTTGCGATCAATTAAATTGAAGGTCATGACCTTGCGAGGCTTCCATTTTTGACATGACGTCACACTTTGATGTCACAATGCTGTTGCGTCATAATGTAAAATAACAACTTTAGCCCCTGAATCCTTATCATATGTATAAATTCTATGGAACATGTATCTAATAGGCATTATGCCTTACACAGTGTCAACCTGAGATTATATTGTAATGGTTTACTACATAATTTAAAAGAAATAAAGCAATTTTCTATGAACTTACAGGCAAATAAATGTGGGAAATGTCATCAAATGCTACTCCTTAAGGGTGCAAAACACAGTTTTATGTACGACGTTATCAGGACGTTACTTGGTGAGGGACATGCAAAACTGGCCCCTATAAAAAAATAAAATGGAGGCTTGTTACATAGACTTCTGCATATCAATGGAAAGATAAAATTGTGAATTTTGTAAATATCCAACTATAATACATTCATCAATTACTACTAGGGGGTATTTAACACCTGAAATAAGGGGGATATTGGGTTGTTTACACATCCATTTTCAGTGCACCTATGCATTTTTAACCCCCCTGCTCAACAAAAACAGAAAAAATCAGACAAAATAAGTTGCATGCATTTCACAGAACAAGTCTTAAGGTTTTCTTTTAGTGTGCTTTCAGGGTACATTTTCCACCTCTTGAAAGAGCTACATTACCTGCTAATTGACTCATGCAATTCTGCACATGTGAAAACTGGATGTTTCTGGAGTTATCTCCCCCTATTAAAAAGTCTCACAATTTTTTTTTTCTAAAAATGAATGCACATTTTTTTCTTTAAATATTAAGATAAGACTCTACTTTATGCGAATAAAAACAAAAAAGATGCAGTTTTCATCTAGACTCCTATAAATAGCAGGAAAATCCCTACCCAGCATGCTTCTCTCTGGGAAAAACCCCCTGGATTTTATACGAAACTGTGTTTAGCTACCTTAAAGGAAATCATTTTTTTTTTGCAATTCACTTTTTTGTATTTAGGTGCAAAGAGGACAAAATTCCAAACATTTTGGTGCATAAATTGTTGAATTTAGTCCAGAAATGGGCAAGTTATTGTAAATTTAGTATTACATGTCTACGACATTAGTCGACACATAAAACAGGACTTCGAAGAGAAATTCAAACCTAACCGAATCAGCTCACACAATAATTTTATTTTTCTTCAATTTAAAAAACACAAAGTATGAAATATACAGTATTTGAATATCAATAAAATGTTACATTATAAATTTTTTGAAAAGCTGCCAAACATTTTTTACAGATATTTCTAGTTTCTGTATAAACAAGGGGGGGGGGGGGGGGGTAATTGGAAATAGTCACTGTCTTAAATCAGAAGATATTGCCTAAAACATCTGGATGGTGTCACCCTAACTAGATACTCAATAGGTCTATGTCACATGTATATATATACAGAAGATACATATTCTCATTTGCGATCAATTAAATTGAAGGTCATGACCTTGCGAGGCTTCCATTTTTGACATGACGTCACACTTTGATGTCACAATGCTGTTGCGTCATAATGTAAAATAACAACTTTAGCCCCTGAATCCTTATCATATGTATAAATTCTATGGAACATGTATCTAATAGGCATTATGCCTTACACAGTGTCAACCTGAGATTATATTGTAATGGTTTACTACATAATTTAAAAGAAATAAAGCAATTTTCTATGAACTTACAGGCAAATAAATGTGGGAAATGTCATCAAATGCTACTCCTTAAGGGTGCAAAACACAGTTTTATGTACGACGTTATCAGGACGTTACTTGGTGAGGGACATGCAAAACTGGCCCCTATAAAAAAATAAAATGGAGGCTTGTTACATAGACTTCTGCATATCAATGGAAAGATAAAATTGTGAATTTTGTAAATATCCAACTATAATACATTCATCAATTACTACTAGGGGGTATTTAACACCTGAAATAAGGGGGATATTGGGTTGTTTACACATCCATTTTCAGTGCACCTATGCATTTTTAACCCCCCTGCTCAACAAAAACAGAAAAAATCAGACAAAATAAGTTGCATGCATTTCACAGAACAAGTCTTAAGGTTTTCTTTTAGTGTGCTTTCAGGGTACATTTTCCACCTCTTGAAAGAGCTACATTACCTGCTAATTGACTCATGCAATTCTGCACATGTGAAAACTGGATGTTTCTGGAGTTATCTCCCCCTATTAAAAAGTCTCACAATTTTTTTTTTCTAAAAATGAATGCACATTTTTTTCTTTAAATATTAAGATAAGACTCTACTTTATGCGAATAAAAACAAAAAAGATGCAGTTTTCATCTAGACTCCTATAAATAGCAGGAAAATCCCTACCCAGCATGCTTCTCTCTGGGAAAAACCCCCTGGATTTTATACGAAACTGTGTTTAGCTACCTTAAAGGAAATCATTTTTTTTTTGCAATTCACTTTTTTGTATTTAGGTGCAAAGAGGACAAAATTCCAAACATTTTGGTGCATAAATTGTTGAATTTAGTCCAGAAATGGGCAAGTTATTGTAAATTTAGTATTACATGTCTACGACATTAGTCGACACATAAAACAGGACTTCGAAGAGAAATTCAAACCTAACCGAATCAGCTCACACAATAATTTTATTTTTCTTCAATTTAAAAAACACAAAGTATGAAATATACAGTATTTGAATATCAATAAAATGTTACATTATAAATTTTTTGAAAAGCTGCCAAACATTTTTTACAGATATTTCTAGTTTCTGTATAAACTCCTAATAAATAGTCACTGAAAATCCCTACCCACATGCTTCTCTCTGGGATGGGGGTGTCAACCTGAGATTATATTGTAATGGTTTACTACATAATTTAAAAGAAATAAAGCAATTTTCTATGAACTTACAGGCAAATAAATGTGGGAAATGTCATCAAATGCTACTCCTTAAAGGAAATCATTTTTTTTTTGCAATTCACTTTTTTGTATTTAGGTGCAAAGAGGACAAAATTCCAAACATTTTGGTGCATAAATTGTTGAATTTAGTCCAGAAATGGGCAAGTTATTGTAAATTTAGTATTACATGTCTACGACATTAGTCGACACATAAAACAGGACTTCGAAGAGAAATTCAAACCTAACCGAATAAGCTCACACAATAATTTTATTTTTCTTCAATTTAAAAAACACAAAGTATGAAATATACAGTATTTGAATATCAATAAAATGTTACATTATAAATTTTTTGAAAAGCTGCCAAACATTTTTTACAGATATTTCTAGTTTCTGTATAAACAAGGGGGGGGGGGGGGGTAATTGGAAATAGTCACTGTCTTAAATCAGAAGATATTGCCTAAAACATCTATATAACTAGATACTCAATAGGTCTATGTCACATGTATATATATACAGAAGATACATATTCTCATTTGCGATCAATTAAATTGAAGGTCATGACCTTGCGAGGCTTCCATTTTTGACATGACGTCACACTTTGATGT